CTTTTTTGAGACGGAGTCTCGCTCTGTTGCCCAGGCTGGAGTGCAGTGCGCGGATCTCGGCTCACTGCAAGCTCGCCCTCCCGGGTCACGCATTCCCTGCCCGCAGCCTCCGAGTAGCTGGGGACTACAGGCGCCACTAACCGCGCCCGCTAATTTTTTGTATTTTTAGTAGAGGGCTACGGGTTTGTCACCGTGGTCTCGATCTCCTGACCTTGTGATCCGCCCGCCTCGGCCTCCCAAAGTGCTGGGATTACAGGCGTGAGCCACCGCGCCCGGCCGAAAATATCTCTTAATTATATATATTCAACAAATTATTTCCCAAAGATACTCATGAAGCTAAACAAAAATAATTTTTGTTCAAATGGCTCTGTGAGTTTAAGAATATGATTTGAATACATCTGATACAATAATTTAGCCAAGAAGTAGTCTCTTACACTAACTGAAAAACATGAAAAGTTGTCAGCTTCACAATTTGAACCCGATCCTTTCATCTTCTCCTTGAGAGCCTGCTAATGGTGGTATCTTTCTGAAGCACTTTTAGAATCTTATTTTTGTATGGAGTGTTTTACTGACTACATAGGTAGCAACTGAGTCCCTCGGTTAAATAAGTTATAAGCTCCTTTAACCCTCTTAATACATCACTCTGTAAAGATGTCATTTACAATGCAGTTCACTTTGCAATCATGCCTGACTCCCAGCATTTTTTACTTTAATATTTAGAATGAATATTCTCAATATATGAGAATACTAGTCTTGAAAGTATGACTCTGGGTGTTATTATATAGCACGTGTGTATATAAAATCTATGGTTTTACTTCCCATATTTGATGATAATACAATATTAAAGACAGAACACCCACAGGGTTGTAAATTATTTTTCTCATTAAGATTTTAATGTAGCTGTAAATGAAATTCTCATTTTAAAAAAATTAAAGTTTCCATTTTATTTTTTTAGAATAAAGATTTAGTGCACAAATACAGCCCAAAGCCAACAGAAAAATCGCTTTGCCCTGTCATTTCCCTAAGAAAGCACTGAAGTTACTCAAAATAGGCTGAAAGAAAAAAAGCAATCCTCTGAGTTCTAGGTTTCACAAAAGGACGTGTTAAACTATGTACATCGATTTGATGTGCAAGTATGCAATAAATATGTACACATACATTCCTATCTGCTTTACATCATTCTAGAGTATTCATAGTATATCAAGATGGGATTTAGAAATGTGAAAAGGCCATAACAGTGAAAAGGAAAAAAAAAGATACAATGGTTTTTAGACCAGTAGAATAATAATGCTTAGCTAGTTAATTATTTTAACTTTGGAGCAGACTAAAAAAGTTGTTTTGAAATAAATGGTACCTGTAAGTGATGCTTACTGCAATACTTGTTAAATGTTATTTGTCAGCACTGACCGGAATTATATAGTGCTAGTAACACAGCTCCCACTGTCCTAGAATTCCTCTAATCGGTCAGCTATAGCTACCATTATCTTGATAAGCATTTCAAGAGTTGTGTTGCTGAGCCTTTTAAAAGATAACTAGTTTATAACCTATGTCTCCTTATGTGGCTACATCAGTTACTCGTGGTCCCAACGAAGTATAAAAGAGGATGTAAGCTGCTGAAGATTTCACAGAAGAAACGGAGATATCAGAAACTTCATGATCATCAAACTTAAACCACCGTTGTCTTGCTGCATTTTTACAATAGGCTGTGTAGTGGCCTCCATCCAGTCCGCCGTAGTGATTCTGTGCCAAACAAGATAGAAAAATCAATTCAATTTCAATTGTTTAAAATATGCCAATTGTTTCAAAGCTTTATGTTATTCTTACTCTTCCATGAGGCAGGAAACCACTTGAAACTTTTTTTTTTGAACTTGCTTTGAAACAAAAAGTCTTCAGTTCAAAGAGATACTTACTGAAACAGAAAACAAATTATATTTCTTCAAATTGTTCTTTGGACCAATAACATACTGTGACAAGTCAAGGTTTTCTAACGGGAAGTCCACAGATGTCTGTAATTTTTGTTTCCACCTGCCATCGTAGGAAAAACTGCAGAACAAAACATTACAATTACACTGACAGAGGAAGATACCGGGATGAATCCTCATTCATTAACATCCAGGTTTTTAGCCAGCACTATAAAATCCACTTCAAATACAAAGACTTGGAATTTTAGTAGTAGAGGAACCTGTTAAAGACATTTGGTTTCATTTCCATTTTATAAACAAGAAAACTGAGGCACATGGATATTTAATGATGTGCCTAAGGTCAAACAGCAAGAATGGTAGAGGTAGGACTACACTCTGGTCCAGTTTCAACTGCTACATGAGTCTTCTACGAAGGTAAGACCCACATGTTTATAATGCTGATCACCACAAAAGAAAGAATGAGAGCTGCTCTTGAGTGAAGCTTGTACTTCAGAGGAAACTAGAGCCAGGAATTGACAGTAGGGAGACTACTGACTAAAATAATGCCATTCAATCCATTATTCTGGCATATTCTGCTCCTTTAAACATTAAAACAATGATATCTTAGTTGGTGTAATATGGTTATTTCAGAATTTTCTAACTTTTCAACATTAAAAATTTTAACAAATGTGTAATCACTTATAGCATGTTTATACTTCCACAATCCTCAAATAGGACAATGGAAAAAACTTTACACAAGAGAAATCTGAACATGTAAATGTTGAAATTAACATAAGGAACTAAGAATCTCAATACAAGATAACACATTTTTAACAGAAATGCTTTTTTTGACAAATTACAGTTCTCAACAAAAAAGTGCAACTTCCTTTAAAAAGCTTTTCAAAAAATCAACTCAAAGTTCTTGAGTTACATGGATTATGTGAAGACCAAAGAATCAGCAAAAGATCTGGTTCGTGTTTTAGAACGCTTGTCATTATTCCTTCTATTATAGGACTAGACCTGTTCCATCAATTGGAAAAATCTGGACAAAATTATCTCTGCACTTAATGGTATCATTAACATATTTTATTGTTAAAATACTTTAAAATTATAAATTTCATTTAACACATAACTAAGTCTGTTGTGCTTTAGTCTGCTGTTTGAATGTTACATTTCATGTGCTAATTTGCATTTGAATTATACGGTAACATTTTTATACATTTTCACTTGATGCTTTGTAATTTAAAATTATATCTGAAATGCAATATTTTATTTTATAGAAACTGAGTCATAAGGAATTACATGAAATGGTGGTACTGTCATTTTGCTCTGGTACTGACAACACTGAGGTGAACTAACAGTCTCATTTCTGCTTTATTTTCCTAGATCTACTGTAACCAGATAATTGTCCTTTGTTATGTACCCATGGCAGGTAGTACAACAAGTATAAATTACACAGGACTTAAAATTCCTTCATTTAATTTCACTGAACAGGAAGAAAAACTTTCCCCTTTACCGTTTCAGATGCACTAAAAGTACAGGTGGTAACTTCCAGATTTCTATCTTTTTTAGAGAATCTCGTCGAGCTCTGCAATGACTGCAGTAAAATCTGTTGTTATCTGTGAGTTTTTCTTCTTTGGAAAATAATCTAAGGCAATCCTGGCAGAAAAAAACAAGTAGCAGATCAGATACCCGTTAATTCGTTTCTTCAATACTGTCAGAGAGCACCTATTTAGTCAGTCATTCTGCAGGCACCAGTGATTCAACACCAATCTACACAAAAGAGTTCCTGCCTTCCCAAAGCTTGTGATCTAGTGAGGAGCATAGACAAGTGAACAATGACAGCACAGAGTGTGGTGAGTGCTACCTACAGTGTGTTGTGATAGGACCCAGGAAAGCCCCTAACCTGGTCCATCAGGGAAAACCTGTTGGAAGAAATGACATTCTGGAGGTACTTTAAAACGAAAGGTATCAACAAGCTTTTAGATAAGAAACATTGTTGATACATGGAAAACAGGATATTTATTTGATATCCCCATGTAAAGCAAATGCTTACCAAAAGTATGCCTAAGTTAGTCAACAGACAACTCTCCAAATTAACTTTTAAAACTTTTTAAAAACATTAACAATCCTGAAAGAATATTTAATAAAGGCATCTTTAAAAAAGAAATTTCTAATTCTTTCTAATCTACATAGGCCTAATTATAAAACAGAATTTATGTTGAGTTTTGCCAATAACATTCTTTTTTTTGTTTTAAGACAGAGTCTCACTGTGTTGCCCAGGCTGGAATGCAGTGGTGCGATCCTGGCTCACTGCAAGCTCCACCTCCCAGGTTCATGCCATTCTCCTGCCTCAGCCTCCCAAGTAGCTGGGACTACAGGCGCCCACCACCACGCCCGACTAATTTTTTGTATTTTTAGTAGAGACGGGGTTTCACCATGTTAGCCAGGTTGATCTTGATCTCCTGACCTCGTGATCCGCCCGCCTTGGCCTCCCAAAGTGCTGGGATTACAGGCGTGCGCAACTGCGCCTGGCCGAGTTTTACTGATAAAATGTTTATAAGGGTAAAGACCAGAAATAAATTGAATAATATACATCTCTATATCCATAAAAACAGCATTTTTATCCAATACATCATTTTCTCTCTATCTTAAACTTACCTGTAATGTACATTTACTTGTGGATGCTAGCGGCAGAGACAAATACATGAAGGCCTCAAATGTCCTAGACTTTTTGTGACAGGTGAGGCACTGTACTGTAGATTTGAACTGACCCTGAAAAAGTGCAACAATAATAGACTCATTGAGCTGCTTGTGTTTCTGCCACGCATGTTCTGCAGCTTTAAAGTCATCAAGATGTTCATTATTTTCTTCTTTATATCTCTTCCGATTATCAGCCTGGAAATAAGATTATTTAAGCTCTATATTAATATCTCAAAGACAACATTTAAATAGAAATTGAAAGAATAAAAGTAAATACAAACACTTTGCAGATTTAGAAACACCTGTAGTTCTCATAAAGGAGTTCTGATCTTATTGAGTGTGGCAAAAAATAATTCTAGCCAAGAATACTGAAAAAACCCACTTTATCAGAAGAATGTGACTTGTTGAAATTTCCCAAATTTTTATTTAAAAAGCTGAAAAGGGCCAGATGTGGTGGTTCACGCCTATAATCCCAGCATTCTGGGAGGCCAAGGCAGGAGGACTGCTTGGGGCCAGGAGTTTGAGACCAGCTTGTGCAACACAGTGAGACCCCCATCTCTACTAAAAAAAAAAAAAGAAAAAGCTAAAAAGTTTGGTTTTGAGAAAAGATATCTCATATATAGCTGGGAACTAGGGCTACAACTGGACAGATATAATTTTGTTGCCCTAGCCTCATTTTATATATATATATA